AGTCAAACGAATGTTATTCGGTATGGTAATTTTTTCTAATTAAAATTTTTATTTTTTTATTTTTTGGTAATTAGAACTAATTCTAGACGCAATGGTAGAAAAAATTATCACTTTAATTGACAATTTTCATTAAAAAACGAAGTCAAACGGACACCAAACTTCCAACATTTTCTATGAAAAATTATACCAATCAAACACAATTAATTACAATTCTCACTAAAACAATTTTTAGGCAAATCAATTCCCTGTAAACATTTTCTTTCCACCAATTTTCCACGTTTGCAATCAAACGAACCCTAAGTTTATAAGGTTTTAAATGGCTAGAAACGAGATTGAAATCTTGTCCAATCGAGTGGAAGACAAAGACAACTGTAGAATTTTTTGCTCTGGATTTTGTAATAATTTTTTTAAAACTAGTTTAAAGAGATGCATATTTTCAATACTTAAAACCGTATATTTTTTAATCCCAAAATATACAGTAACATATATGTAATCCAAAAAATATTATTTTTTAACTAAAAATTGAAATATTTTAATGATGCTCCACCAGCAAAATAGTAGTGCATGCGTTAACATGATATGTAATTCGTAAAAAAATATTGGTATTTAATGAAAAATAAAAATATTGATTTTAAATGTTAAGGAAATATATATTTGAAAAAAACTATAAAATGATGTAAATGCAAAAATTGATTTTAATGAAAAATGAGTTATTTTTGGAAACATTGTAGAGGGGAGAGTATTTTTAGAAAGGTGAGGTAGTTTTGACATTACCCAAAAAATTTTAGCTCACATATTTTACTTGTCCGTCCAGCTTCATAAGCCCACAGATTAAACGAAACAGGCCCAAAATGAAGTGTAAAATGGGGCAATAGGCGAAGCCCGAACAATAGCATGAAAAAATGCCAATCTTCGGTCAAGTTTCCTGGAAAAACTTCCAAGATTTTTAATTGACAAAAATTTTATTGTAAAAGTGCAAGTAATTGACTTGTATGATTACGAAAAGAAACAATTTGGAGTTATGGAATGATTGGCCCCGTCTATAAGTTATTGATAATCAATCAAATAATTTATCATCCACATATTTTATGAGATCCATATTCCATAGTACCAATTTATCAACCACTCATCCCCTTCGGGGGTCGTCGAATTGGTGGACCAAGTGAACGCAGAGACTAAATGTCACGAGTTCGAATTTCTTGCCAACACTTCATCGGTCAAACCCGTTGCACTGAGCTTGCTTAGTGCGGTTTACTTCTCATGTGTGGTTTGCGGGAGTAGCACATGGAGTTGAGTTTACCTAGTGCGCACTCATAGTGGTCGGGCTTCCGTCCCTTCAGGGTGGTCAGGGTTCTGCTGACGGATAACGGCTACGGATTCCTACATTAACAAAAAAAATTATCGACCACTCATTTCTTTCCATTTATAATTTAAATGGATTATAAAAAATCCCAAGCATATTTGAGTAAAATCTATCTCCATCCTTAATTGTACCAACAAGTCAATATTTTTCTGGCTATCAAGGGGTTGAATGCTTCTGGCTATCAATCCTGCCTATCCCATCCACGGTCATCTC